AATGCGCCCATACACAATTTTGGATTAAATAAATTACTGTGAATAATTTAAATACCTTGGAATTATTTAAACTCAATTAATTAAATCAGATTAGGCACACTAATAATCTCAATTATCTTAATTAATCTCAATTAATTCTTCAGGGTGTTACACTATAGCTTGACTAGTGCTAGATCTTTGGACAAACCGCCGGCGATCACCTGAAAAAATCAATTTTGAGTCCGACCCCCGACCCGACCTGACCTGCCCAAATTTTTTGGCCCACCCGCCCGAGCCTGAGAAGCCTCGTGGACGGGCTGTGGGCCTGCTTTTGCCTGCTTGAGCCCGCCCGAATTGCCCGAAATAAAATATTTTTTATTATATTTTTAAATTTTTATAATATTATATATATATATTATATAATATACTATTATTTAGTAATTGTATTTGTATATAAATAATTATTAAGTTATTTTGTAATAAAATTATATAAAAACTAAAATCAACAATCAACACATTATTAACACAATTTAATAAATTAATTTTGTATATTAATTTTTAAATTCGTAATTCATGATTGTCTCGTTAAAAACCTTACCAAGAAAAACCCAATTGGGATAAAAACTTTGTAAAGAAAAAACAGTGCAATCATTTTGTGACGAATTATAAATTTTACAAACTTACAAAGTCTAAATATACAATTACAATGTCGAAAGTAAATACATATTTACAAATTACAATTTAATTTGAAGCTGAAGGGTCGTCTTCAAAATTAAATGTTAATCTATTAAATTTATTGATCCAATATTGACTTGCCGGCGAAATTGTATTCTGTAAACGTTGATCGGCACGATCCCAATCCTTAATACAGACCAAGGCTTCAACAATGTCCCTTTGCAATGCATTTCGACGTTCCTCAAATATTCGTTCGGTCGTACTGAGGCTTGTTCAGATGAAACAGTGGAGACTGGGATCGAAAAAATATCCATTGCCAATCGAGTTAGGACTGGTCAAGTTAATGCTCATGCCCTCCACCATTGAACTAAGTCAAACGATTCTCCAGTACCGTCGACTACTAAGCTCTCGCTGAGGTACGCCATAAGCTCATTGAAGCTGCCGCCACCACCACCTGTTGATGAAGATCCACTCCCAGCTTCTGTTTGAGTTATCTTCTTCTTCTTCTTCAACCCGAAAACAATCAAGAATGAATGCGGGTTTTCATCTTGTTGTTGCGGTTCCTGTACTCTAGAGTTTGTGTTTCTAAACCTATTCTCATATTTACTATAAATCGAAAATATTTTTGTCTTTATTGTTGGAAATTGGTCAGAACAATTGATGCCTAAAAATTCACCTAAGTTTTCTAAACCACTTTCTAAAGCGTCTGATTTTAATCTAGGATTAAAAATAGTACCGAAACCATACAATGAATGCAATTTAGACCAATATTTTTTAAAGTTCTTTTCTATAGAAGTGATAGGAACTCCTAAGATTGAGTCCGCCCTAAATTCACTAAATAAACTACTAATTCTTAAAAGTTCACCTAAAGCTAAAGGTGATGTTGGATAATATGTTTCACTAAGTTTTAAAGTAACATCATGAAACCTACCTAAAAATTGATACAAAATTTTGATAATTTACCAATCATATGCGTCTATATGTCATGTTCGTAATTTTGTATAGATATAGTTTGTTATAGCATCCTTATAGAGGATGCATTGTTGAAGCATAATATAAGTTGAGTTCCATCTTACAGGCATATCTAAGACTAATGCTCTAGAATGTAGATTTAATGCTTGTAAGAACCTAAACCAATCTTGTTCTCTTTGATTACACCCTTGAATCCATGCAATAGTATCTCCAATTCTTTTAATGTGAGTAGCCATTTCTTTTAAACAGAATTTAACTATTAAATTAATTACGTGGCATGCACAACGTTGGTAAAAAATAGTACCATCGCCGAATAAATTTAAATAATTTTTGAAGTACTCAATTGCTTTAGTATTTGCACTAGTATTATCTAATGTTATAACCATTACTTTATCTCTTAATCTAAATTCATCAATTACATTTAAAATTGTACTATATATTAAATCGGCACTATGTGATCCTAAAACACATTTAAAACCTAATATTCTCTTATATAAATCGAATCCTTTAAAGAAATGTCCGGTTACAACTAAATAATCTTTATTGGCAACGACAGACTAAATATCTGCCGTTAACACAACGCAACTACTAGTCGAGTGTAAAGGTTTATTAATGCTTCTTTTTCTTTTTTAAATAATTTTAACAAATCTCTTCTAAGAGTAGTTTTTGAAGTGAACTGTTCATTAGGATTATGTACAACTTTAATATATCATTGCCAATTAGGATGCTCTACAAACTAAGTGGTTGATCTAATGCAGTTATCATTCGCGCAACTTCCAGACGATTTACTTGCGGATCGTATTTTCAAGTGATTAGACCACCGGTTGCGTGATCAAAAGATAATTGTGTTTGGCGGAGTTCGGCTCCGTCGGACTGGCTAAGCTTTTAAAGACACTTTTCGGAGTGTCTTCTCAAGTGTGTTGTGCCATGAGTAATGTCACCTTCTAATTTAGATAAATAATATTTACACTGAGGTATATGTTTAGTGTTACCGTCATTGTTGATTTTCTCAATTGTGTCGAAGTGATCCCAAACTGTCCAGGTGCGCTTGCATTTCCTTTTGGAGGTTGTAATACTTGCAAACGCAGTAGCACTTGCACTCGCCGCTTCTCCACGCCCACCACCATTGCAACCACGACCTCCAGTTTGTTCGCCACGATAAAGATCAGTAGGTTCCTCAGTTGGTTGTGTTTGCGATTCCTACGTAATAAACTCATTAGTGGGAAATTACCATTCTTCCACGTTGTGTTGGGCCAACAAGAATACTACCATAACCAAAAGAATCCATTATAAAAAATAAGGCGATTTGAAAGAGAAAGCTTTAGGATATTGTGATAGTTTTTAAAAAAAATTGTAAGAGATTGAGAGAAATTCAGAGGGATTGAGAGATATTGAGAGGAATTGAGAGAGTTTAGATGGGAAAAATGTGTGGGGGATGAAGAGTATTTATAGGGAAATTTGAGTTAAAAAATTAATTTATTTTCCCCCAAATTCAGATCCAACGGCCATTTTTTTTGTCTCGACGGGTCAAGTTCGGGCTAAAAATCGAGCAACAGTAAAAAAAGATCCGTTGGAGTCAGGCAACTCAGGCGGCAGGTTAGGTCGGGTGTCAACAGTCAAATATATAACCGTTGGTCGGGCTTCGTGTAAGTCAAGCCGGATTAAAAAAATTCAAAAAAATTTTGACATACTACAATTGACGGCGCTCTCTCGGCGGCGGGCTCCAGCGATTCGTCCATTTTCAGGTAGCCCGAGCCCGAGCCTGAAAATGAAACTTAGACGGGCAACCTTATGGGCCTGCCCGCCGAGCCTAAAAAATTCAAGCTCCGGGCAGGCCCGCCGGCCCAAAGTACCAACACTGAGCTTGGACATGGTTCAACCAAGCTCGTCCTCAAATTTGATTGTGTATTCATATAATTTTTTCTTTCCCAAATGACTTTAGGATGTCAGTTTTGTATTCTTAGTGTACAAAGTACACTACAGGAATTCAGTTCCTCTATTATTGTTGCTCATCAATTATTAGTATAGCAACTGCGGTTTACATGGATCTGTTAGTGGTTAAAAACCAGTAGTGATGATGAAGATACACTAGTGATACATAACACTCATGCATTGTATAGACAGATGCATAAATCGGACACTATTCATCCAAGCATTTTCCAAAAATTTTGTGAACTAAAGTGGTTGTAAACGAACCTCAAACCTGAATTTACAAACTAATTGAATGACACTTAATTATACACTTAATTATCATAATATACACGAACAAGAATATCTGAATACAAATAAAAAAGTTTGTAATTTACAGTCGAAAAGATAGGACAATTTTCAACTGTCTGAGAAAATTCTCATGACTCCAAGTTTTGAATCGTTATTTCCTTGAGCGAGGTTACTAATCTCCGAAATACCTTAAGATTGTGTCCTACTTTATCCTGAGATGTTAAGGAACCAAAAATTAATATCGAAAATACATTCGCATAAAAAAATGGATCAATTAGCAGACATAGAAGTAGGCTGTAAGAATCATACCTCACTAAGTAACTCAAGTCGTTCTAAAGCAGGAAGTAGCTTTCCACTAATCAAAGAGACGTCATCTTCTGAGTCAGATCTGGAACCAAACGTAATTGCCCTTGTAGCTCCACTGGCAGGTGCAACAGAACTGACCCCCAAAAAAAATGAAAATAACTCAGAAACATTACAAAGAAAAATTACTTCTAATTTGGACGTGAAATTTCAGGCTCACAAGTTACAATATAGTGACCTATAGTTAAAAATTAAAATGCTATATGGTGCTCTCATGAGGATCAAGACGTCCTAAATCCAAAACCCCTAAGAGGAAAAATTAAAAAAACAAAAGGAAAAAAAAAAAAAAGAGAGGCTCGTACCTATACTGAAGATGAATCAGGATGATATTCAGAATCTGCTCTGCAATCGGGAGCAACAAGGTGATTAACTGATCTCTGTTGCGAACGATCTGGCACATTTCCACCATTGCAACATACCTCCTACAAGATTGGGGAAGAAAATGAAAATGAAAGAATTAAATTACAAACGACAAAAAGGAAACATTATGACGGAGCTTCATGACGGACTTAGTTGAACAAACAATAAAAATAAAAGCTAAGGGTTAATGACAGGATGAGAGAGAGAGACGAGAAATGATGAAATCGCTGAATGCATATTTTTACTTCAATATACAAGCTCCCCCCCAAAAAACAAAAAATGAATGTAATCGTCTAATGTAATACAAAGCAGTTAACATAAGAGCAGAAAGTTAAAAAAACAAATATACCGTTTCTGTATATTGTCAGATGACAAAACACAATCTCGCCTGGCACACATGTTGATAATTTCATCCACCTCCTGTCTTGAAAGTTCATTTATGTCCCGAATCTACAACCAGAAGCAAAAGATTACTTCTAATTTGATGTTATACAATAATGATTCAGTAAAACCAACGCACAAAAACAAAAACAAAAACAAAAAAAAAAAACAAAAAAAAAACACTTAATCAAGTTTACCCTGTTAATTAAGAGAGATTTTTCCTCCGCAGCTCTTTCAAGAGCAGTTGTCGCAGAATTAAGAAGAGAACCGAGTAAGCTCAATGTGGGCTGTTGACTTCCCACAGAAGCACGGAAATCGGACACATCTGAAATCTGTGGTAATACAGGAGAGACTAATTATTAGTGGAATAACAGGTGAGCAGTGAGGTAACTTGCCCAAACATGATTACATCTACCTGCAGTATTAGGGATTTTCTCCTGACGAGGAAATATAGATAAGAGCTCAGGCTGGAGCATAATCGGAACCTGTTTAGTTCTGATTTTCTCTCATTCTGGTAATTTTCCCACGAATGAAAGAAATGAAGGGAAATGAGAATAGAAATGAGCAAATATTGATAGAAAATATATACATAAACAAATATATATATATATATATATGTATGTATGTATATATTTCTAAATGTCTTGGGCAGAATCATCAAACCTCCAGAGACCGAACTGATTGACCATAAGTAGGAGTCTCCAAGTCACATGAGAATAAAGCATGCATCATACTAAACAGCCCTTGAACAAAGCCACAATCATCGCTCTCTTCATAAGGCCAAACCTGATCCCAAAAGAAGAAAAATACGATTAAAAATAGAAAGGGAATATACTGCTTTGCATAGTACTTGTCAAAGAACCAACACGTTGGTTATTAATGCAATCAATATATAGAAGGGACACAACACAAACTTAGTAAAGAGGCGATAATAACTCTTTGGATCCTTTGCAATTCCACTAAGAGTGCAATAAGAAAAAAAACTCTCCGAGAGTTATGGGCCTCAGACCACTCAGATACCACTACAGCAGCCAAATAATGCCACTGACTATAACCGATTCTTACACCTAATGAGCTGTTGCAACCAAATCAAGGGAATAGAGCTGATTATTTTTATTGCATTACTTTTTGTTTTTGCTTTATGAGGATTTCTCATCCTCTGACCTTTTGTAAATTGATTATTGATCAATGGAAGGTGATTTTTCTTACAAAAAAATAATAAAAACAAATAAGGGGAAGAGAAGATAAGCACCCAGCTTGTTTGACGTTTCCTTTTCTCTCTTTTTCCCTGTCAAGTCTATAAAAACACAAAAGTAGTTCTACCTTGCTAAGTATACCAACAACAAGATTGATCTGCTCCATTGTCAATTCGTCAGCCTCAGAAATGTCTTCACAAAGAACTCTATCAAAGAGCGTCTGATGCCCTTTGACAAAATCTATTACTTCACGGACAATTTTGTTCTTCACCTATTCGAAATTAAAAATATAGTAACAATAACAAGAATGCACTTGAAATAGAGACGAACAAAATAAAACTCAGGACAATGTGAGGATTAACAAAAACATAAAGTAATACTGCCAAAATAAACAGCAGAAGTATAACAGTTTGGGAGTGGAGTGACAAACAAAAGGAAGAAAAAGAAGAAATTTTGGCAAACAACTTCTAGGCAGATTAATAGGGAAAAAGTGTAATATTCCTTAATTTGAGTAATGATGTTGACAGGAAGTGTCTTTGAACTGTTTAATCAGACGATGTTTCTTCAATTACACTTGCACCCACCTAAGCAATTTATAGAAAAATTATATTTATCAAAGAAATATATTGATTTCTGAAAGTACAATTTTGAACTTTAAATCCACATGGTGTTTGGGTGCTACTCCAAGGTATGCATTGAGCATAAATAACACATTTAAATATATGATAATCACTTGTAACGCTACACCAGAAATTACAGTAAAGTTTTAAATTAGTAATTAAAGATGTTCAACACTATCATTACACACACACACACACACAGATATATAAAGAAACAAAGGGTATAAACTCTAAAGTCCATCTTTTAACGAATGGCCTACTATTTGTTCACACTTTCATATACCAAGAGCCTTTCACAAGAGAGTCAGAAAATCAGAAAGCGCTTCTGAAAATATAAGAAAAGCAACAGCCAATATCTATACCGCACCCACATGCCAAAGTACGATAGGAAACCACAGATTGCTTCTTAGAAAAGAGAAGAAAACACATGAAAGCTAACCTCTAGAAATTCGGATGCATCAATCAATGATGTAAGAGAAAAAACTAATCTCAGCACAGGAGTTATGATCAATCGTTGCCTGTCAAAATCCACAGCCACATCCCTTCGCAGCTTCGTGTCAACCCGCCTCAAACTTCCCTGCTAGTTAGCAAAAGTTAAAAGTGGATTCGCCATAATCAGTAGTATGAATGAGCACATAGTAGTTACCAGAAAGTTGATGGCCTTGCATGAAGAAATGTGTTCGAGAGCACCCACGGAGAAAAGAACCTGGGCTCCAGATTTCCCATATTTATGGCTAATTCGCAAGAGTAAAGCAAGTTCAGCCTCAAGAGTACATGCTTGCTGGAATGCCGACCATCCTAAAACAAAATTTGATATTATATAAGCGGCTATGTCCCAAACAAAAATTTTGGAGTACAACTCAGAACAAGCAGGACACCTTACAATCAACCCTTTTAAACTTCTCCACACTAATCCTTTCCCGTACTACAGACAGCTTAAGCTCAGGTTATGTCACGCTTGATGTTAACTAGGTCAATTTAGATTGGTTTATGAATTGTTATATAACTTAAAAATTTTTGTTTCAGAAACTACACCCCCATAAAATATTGACTTTTTTCTTTTCCACAGTTTAATTTGCATTAAATTATTAGCAAACAATGTCCAATCATAAACCAGGAACTATGCTTCTTTTAGCTGGGAAAAGAAAATATAAGAGACAAGAAAATAAAAATAACTTGTCAGGTTTTACTTGAGGATTTTTTTTTTTTTTTTTTGGGAGGAAATTTACCTAAAGGAATATTCTGCTTCACAACACAAAAACAAAAAAACAACACAAAACAAAACAAAAGGCAAATGATGTTATGACCCTAAATTTAAACAAATAAATAAATAACTAGGAGAATAAATCAAATTGAACACTCACACCACAAAGTAGAAATTATGAATTGGGGAACTTATTTGCAAGTAGCAGCAGAAACTTAAGGTTGGACAAGTGAAACACCTGAAAGGAAGCATTGCTGATGTTTGTTAAGCAAGACCGTAGAAAACCCCTGCTCTGAAGTTGGCTTAAGAAATATCTTTCATGATCTACGCAAATCAGTGCATCCAAAACATAAAGTGCTATCGTCTTTCCAGGGTCACTGCTATGAGTTACATCCTTTATTACCTGAAGAATCACAGGGGAAATAATGTGAATAGTGAGGAGCCTGTTTTCCTACTGTAACATATTGATATTCACCAAGGTAAGTAAAAGGGAACTCAAGAAACAGTCAACAACTCAACATAGCAAAGATGAGAAGCCCATACCAATATGTTATGACAAACTAAGACCGTAAAGTCAAATAGTACATGCAGTCTCAGTTCTTAATCTCATTAAGATCACATGTTGAGTGCACAGTTTCTATTTATTATCATTTTATATAAGAAACAAGTTTTGTTGACACTGAAAAAGCGTTAATAAAAACATATAATCAGTTCCAAATTTGTAGTTAATTATTTGTAAAAGCACCATTCAAAATATATATATATATATGCAGTCATAAAAGCATATAATCAGTATTACTAGGGCGTATATCCATTCTTGTAAAAACTCCCATACAAGAGCAGCATTTCTGTTCTTAGGCCTTGGCAGTTGGAAACAACCGCTGAAAGGTTTATTCAGCCATTATTAATACAAAAATTGCAATAAATACCTACTTTTACCAAATAATGAAGACAGGAACATGTCACCCACCAAATCCAAAAGTGACTGAGCCTCTTTTCTTAAAATAGAAAAATTAGCACGAGCAAGTTCCGCTTGTTCTTTGTTGATCTAGTAAAAAGATGGAAAATGTTAATTACTAATTTTACAATACTTTTAAGAATCATCTAAATGTAGAAATTTGCATCAAGATTGTAGAACTAGACACCTTATGGAGATCTAGATCTTCACTATCTTGCTCGTCAAGTAGCAAGAACTGCAGAACTGTCTTTGGGACATCAGGATCAAGAATATGTTGACAATACTGAAAATAGCTAAGTAGCAGTGCATATTGCCTGACAATAAAATGAAAAATAAATATCAGCTGCTGACTAGAAAATTAGACAGCAGAAATTTATCATCTTTCTGAGCATCATACCGTCTCCTTAAGGCCTCTGATGATTCATGCCTAAGAACTGCCAATATAAGCTTAAACAATATAGAATGACAAGCGCCATTTGATAACTGTTTCACTGTGAGAACATCAAGATATGCTGCACTATCGGAATTAAACCCACTGGGGCACAAAAACCTTTCATCTCGTAATTTGGCCATGCATGTCAGAGCAACCTAAGAAATATTTAAGCCAGCTTGTCAACCCCGAAAAGTGGAAACACTTCAAATGCACAAGCACAACATTTAGAAGGTTAAGCATTTATAAATAAATGTACCTGGCATAATATAAATGCCATTTTCAATGAACAGTCAGGAGAAGCAGATGCAGTCAGAGAGGCATCGAGAACCCTGTTAATGCAAATATAAAACAGCTATAAAAAAACGAATGTAAGAAATGACCAAAATAAAGAAAAGGCCAAGGACTTACTGATAAAGAACTTCAGATTGATTTTCAAGTAATGATGTTTTCCTGGAAGCAGAGACCTGCATAAGAAGATAAAAAACATCAGAAACGGCTTCATGAAACTGAAGCATGATCTGCTTCTCAGAAACATCAACATCATCTGAAAAATAGTAGACCTCAACAATCTGGGACCAGCCAGTTAACATATGAAGTTGAGCAGCTTGTTCCTCAAGGTTCTTATTGTACTTCCATCCCCATCTCAACAATTGTTGGATCGTCTCCTTGACATCATTGAGCTCAGCCTCACTCCCAAAGTTACAGAGCTGGGGATTCATTGAACTGAATTTCTGTAACAAGAATAAATATATATGATGAAAACAGGGGAAAAAGGATCAGCACTAAGATCAACCAAAGGAAAGTTTTCGAGCACAGTACTTGGGGGAAAAAAAAAATAATTATGGCAATTGATTAAAAAAACCAACCTGCCAAAGTTTGTCCCTGAGGGAAGCCAGGTCAATCAAGCGATCACCACGCTCTGAGTAATAGTATACGCCACCCTTCCCTGAAGTTGCAGGATTGGCAAGTATGTCCTCCACCTATGTATCATATTTGGCCGAATGCATCAAAAAGTCAAGAAATTAAAGAACATGGACAAAATTTTTATGAGCGAGATATCTTTCACAAACGTCCAAAAAAAGATGCAAACAAGGTACACTTTTTGATGACTAGAATTTTACCAGTAAATCATATTTCAGAGTAGAAATAATTTGAGAGAGCTTCATAGTGGTGTCTGGAGATCTAAATTGAACTACTTCAAGCAACTCCAGTACCTAAATTTGATAAGAGTAAAAAGAAAATCAATTTTCTCACTTGAAAGAAAAAAGAACACAGCTTTACCTAGCACCAAGTCAAAACAGAGAAAAAGAGTGAAGAAAAGAACATCAATCACATCAGATCAAGACAAACAATGGAGTCAAACACCATTCTGGGGCAATATTTTTTTGACAAAGAAACGACCATTCTGAGGCAATATTTTTTTTTTTTTTGAAAAGAAACAAAAAAAAATATTGCCCGTGGGGCCGTATTAGTTTTATTTGTCATCACAAAGCCTTACAGAAAGCTAGAGTGTGCCGCCGCACCCCCCTCCCCAATAAAAAAAAAAAAAAAAAAAAAAAAAAAAA